ACACACAAGGCTCTCAGATATATTGGCATATAAATGATATCATGGACAATGTATTTTGTTTATTAAATAAATGGTTAAACATGAGCAGATATAAAGGCTATTCAGAACTGATCCCATTAAATGGAAACTGAGGAAATCCCACTGAAGCAGAATGGTTAACTTGAGACCTAGTTGTTAAGTGAAATTGCAAAATACATACATTGTGACAGCCGTCTTCCTACATACATTCTGCTCTAGTAGCAAGTGAGATAAACATATATGATGGGCTAAGAAAGGGAAGGACAGTGAAAGATCAGAAGAAAATGGGGCAGATATTGTAAGCATTTGGGTAGGTTTAATCTCAAACGAGGAATCAGCAAACAGATTTCAGGGCCTTTATGCTAAAGTCATAACATACTGAAGTATAATAAAAAATTGGGTTGCATTTTGGGTTTAACTTATGTTTGTAAATGTGTCATGGGCTCAGAGAGTTTTGGATGCTCCCTGCTATATTCCTTTCCCCCTCCCTTTCCCCCCTTCCAGGATCTGCATCTTTAAGCTGTTATTTTATTTTCCCACAATGCTCCTGATGTAGCATCACTCACAGGTGTTGTGGGGAATTTAAATGGTGCTTAGGGATCCATCCACCTAGTCTAAGATGCTACTAGAGAAGTCACTCAGAATGTTAAGAGCCTGATAACTCTTCCAGAGGATTGAGCATAAAAACTGAATTTGCCCCAAGAATCAATGTGGCTTCATTCAGCAGCTATAAAGCCATGCAACTTAATGATCTTGGGATATTGACTCTAGCCTGACACAACCCTTCAGTCAGAATCCTATCTGCAAGAACGTCATTTCCATGTGAAAAGTCTGACACAGGAAGGCAGAAGAGTGTGTAACTACATCAAGAAGCACATGGAATAGGCAGAACTATTCAACATAGTCTTGATGCTGGGCCTTAGAGCTGATTGTGCTGGCTGTGTTCAGACAGAGACTAGGAGTTTCCTGTATTACCTGAAACTGATATTGGGTTGCAACAACACCCTGTTACAGCCTGACCTTGTGTACCCCATGTCTAGTCCCTAGCTGCACAACCTCCTCAGAAACCTCAATCCTTTCCTGGCCTTTGTGTCTGCTATTTGCTTGCCCCTTAGACTTTGGTGACTGGTGAGAACTTTGTCACTTTTGGGATTTGGATTTACTTTCCAGCATAGACCTTGCCTGATGGATTTATGATTTAAAATGCTAACTAAGATACTTCAGCCAAAAGGACCAGGGTATACAACTTTTGTTGTACTATGGCCAGAAAGCCTTATCAAAGTTCACTCTCAAAGCATGGTCCTGAATCTTTGTAGTTCATTTCACTAGTGGGGGCTCCATATGCTTAAACTTTGAAAAACTCTACCACCTTGCTTTGGACCCTTATTCTTGCTGCTGGGCTTCCTTATCTTGGTTGCTACTACAGTACATTGAGACATCAGAAGGCCTCTGTGACTCTTACTGAAGGCCTAGCTAGGCCAGCATTGTGCCTGATGGTCAAACAGATGTCAGTGGAAGATCTGGAATTATCATTTCTTTTTAGAGCTACCTATTACTGGATCAGGCCAAGGACTCATCTAGTCAGGCATTCTGTGTCACATAAGTGTGGATGGGAAGGTGACTGTCCTCTTCCACTGTTACTGTAGCAGCAGGTATTCAATGTATTCAGTGAAGGCTGCTTGTGATTTAGGGGCCAGTAAACACCAATCAAGACTGGTAGCCATTAATAGATTGATTCTCCATGATTCTGTCCAGTTCCTTTTAAAACTATCACCACCTTTGAGGTCAGCAAGTTCTCCTCCATCTGTTTTAGCAGATTACCCAGAATTTTCACTTTGTAAAAGCAAACAAAAAATTAACCTCTGCCTACATTTTCTCTACCATCCACGGCCAGGTCCTAATACACAATGGTCCAGCAGGAAAAACTGTGTAACCAGATTAATTCTATTATTCCAGTCTAAACCCATTCTGGTTCCACCACCAGTCAGGAGAACAAATACCAAAAATTTGATACTAGCTTTGTCCACGACTCCTGACCCTGCCAAGGTCTATTCTCCAGCCTACTCCTAATTCAGTCACTACAATCTTAGAAAAAGAATGGCTGCAACTGGGGGGGGGGGGGGGGCCCAGTCTTCTATATCACACGCCATATGTGTTGAAGATTTCAGCAAATAGAAATAATTTGCATGCAAAACTTTTTTTTAAAAAAAA